ATGTTTGATGTATGCGTGTTGTATATGATTGATGATTTTATAGCTTTGTCAATGGATTATCCGACCATTTAGCATCGAGTTTTTGACATAAGCGACGGAAACTTTCCACTGCCGACTTGATGGACGACCAAATTGGAATTAAATTTGAGGTCATAGCAATTAACAGTTGTTGTTGAGAGAGGGTCAAGGTGGTTGAACTGTTAAAATTAATCACTTTCAAGCATGAAATCATCATCTCCAATTTATCAATTCTAAAATCTTTGCCTTCCCATTTGTTGGCTATGTAAGTTCTAAACATCTTCAATGCTACAAACTAACATTACCATTTGAATATCCTATGCACAAAAGTTAAAAATATAGCAATCAGATAATTACTTGTATAATATTTCCTTTATTTATTATTTTTAGATGTCACCATGCAATATCTAAAATATAAGGCTAGAATCCTAGACATAGAGGATGTTAACATCACATATCCATTAGGACAATAAGATTAACGGTAACTGAACTTTGATCCACTTAAATATTATACTTGAACATACCATATGAATACCACAAAAACGATAAAAGTATTATAAGCATTTAACAATGTAACTAAAATGATACTCAAATTTCATTTTCCACACAAATTTTGTTATTAAAAAATACAATAAAATTTCTTTCCGTACTCATATTACGTTTTTGAAGAAATATAGCAGTTTCTTTTAGAGTTCGATTTACAAAAAATATTATTACCAGAAAAATATTTGTTTTTCGAAATTACATATTCATATTTAGTTTGAGAACATCTTTTTTAAGAGGTTATGAAACATTCATTATAGTAGTATTTTTTGGGCGCTTTTATGAGAAAGTCATTCCTTTTATTTCTTAGGACAAGAATATCTTTGAAATAATAGAGCTATTTTAAAATAATAATTTTTTTATATAATTACACAAATATAAATTTATTTTATTTTCTATTATGATTCCAAATAATAAGAAAATATATATTAAACTATTTGTGTAAAATTTTTACGAAAGAATATATAAATTAAAATTATATATGAACTTTCATGTAATATTTTTACTTTAATTTTGGGGACTGAACTTTTAATAAGAAAATATATTTTAAAGATAATTTGATAAAATATACATTATTTATATCTTGTATTTTTTTCAATCAAACATTATAATTTTATATTTTTATTTAACAAACTAAACAAGATAATACAATATTTTCAATAATATATTAAATAATATTATATTTTAATAATTTTATTTTTAAGTTAAAATGTTGAAGTGGACATTAACTTTCCTTTATCGTCGCAGCTGCAAATAACCTACAAATTTAACCGGCCTTCACAGTACAAATCATTTCGCTTTACGAAAAAAACACTGATTACTTGGCATTTAGCAAGTCCGATTATTCTGCCACGTACCCTATTTTATATGTGACTCAATCGACCAATATTCACATCCGTATAAATTCAGATATTTTAGTTAAAAAATGCACCCAAAGACAAATCACAATTTAAATACTATTAACATTACATGTATAATATTATTAAAAAGGACGAGTCTAGAGCGCACGTTGTATATCGAAACACATCATTAATGTGATATATTGATATACACCACTAATTAAAATATTTTTATTAAATAAATATGAAATAATATAATGACTTTTATTTTTAGATAATTCAAAAATTTATTACCCAAAATAACAAAGTTGCTACAACCAATCAAACAATAAAGGAACTATTAACAGACAAGAAACAAAAAAGATTGGTTAAGCTATATTTCAAGCATTACAAAGGGTAAGATTTAAACTATCTAGTCTATTAATGGTTTTGCCCCTTAGACGAATGGCTACGACCTCCTTGATATGATTGAGCAAGGCTTCAACGTTTTTACGACGACCCGAGAAAATTCTGTAATTGCGTTCTTGCCACAGAAAATAAATGAAAGCATACCATGCAAGCTTTAATATGATAGTGATTAGAGACTTCCCTTTCCAAACAGAGATTGCCCAATCTAAAAAATCATACCATGAGGCCAAAGAAGCATTCATACCATTAAGCAACATAATAGAGCTCCAGAGATCAGTTGCCAAAGGGCAGTAGAAGAAGAGATGGTCTCGAGTCTCTTGGAAAGAGTTACAGTTGGCGTAAATTCCTTTAGAACAGATTCCCGTACGTTGAAGGTGATCTCTTGTAGGAAGACGATCGAGTATAGCCATCCAAGCAATAAAACTGTGCTTGGAAACATGAAATGGAAACCAAATTAAACGATGCCAAGAAACTTTCTGCTCTTGCGTTCGAATTATATCCCAAAATTCTTTGGCTTGCGAATGACCATCAGTGAGGAGTGGGAAAGCATCAGATCGCAGTTTAAGTATTCGTTTAATGCTCCAGCTTACAATACCTCCAGCTTACATTAGCTCCAGCTTGAAAATTCCAGAAGTCTTGATTCTTAATAGGAATATAATTAGATTATATTTTTTTTATTAAAATTATAATTGTTTTAAGAATTTTTATTTCTTTAGGATTGGAGCACTCAATTTTTTTATGTTTGTAATATCACCCTAGAGTAACTATCAAAACCACCGCCGGTAGCCCTATCTTCGCCAGAAAATCGCATTATTCAACCTTCACCATTCGCCACCACGAGTCATCTAGCATGCATACACGGAGATGCAGTGTGAAAAATATCACACATAAGAATAAACTGCAAATTATAATAGCAATAAGCCAACAACTAGCAAGTTATAATACCTTGCAAAATTTGTTCCATATATGTAATCATGCCCTTCATGCTAAAAGGCAACAAAGGTTACATGATTGGCTGTTAGAATCTGAGGAATCGTAAACTTATCTTGCAAGATGATACATAGGGGCTGTTTGAAGAATTTTTGTAACTTTTTAGAGCATTATTTGAAGGCCCAATCCTAAATGTGAAAGTAATAAGCAGAATATAATTTTAATAAAAATATAATCTAATTATATATCTATTAAAATTTATATTAAATAATAATAAAGGCTTAATTATTAATAAGTTATTATATTATTTCATATTTATTTAATAAGAATATTTTAATTAGTGATGTGCATCGGTACATCATATTATTAGTGTGTTTAAGCGTGTGCTGGATATTCTAAAATTTTCCATTAAAAGGAATACTAAACGCTATACATACAAACGAAATATCAAATTTATCTAAAGGGTTAAGTCAATCGCTTTTTATTATTAACTATCAAATTTTCATTAATTAAAATTAAATGGTTGAATTTTATGATGAAAGTTTATGATGAATATATTAATCAAAATTAAATGATTTTGATTGAATTTTTATTTTAATAAAGGCATCTTTATATACATTCCTTTATATTCAATCAAAATATAAAAATAAATTCACTATCATGCATAAAAATTAATATACATCAAAATTCTAAAAGAAATAAAAATAAAGCATAGAAACTTAATAAGATGAAGTTTTTTCTCCTAATAAGTATAATTTAAATTAATGAATATCAATCAATACATATATATAATTATAATCATAATCAATTATCAAAATTTACAGATAAACGAATTGTCAATCAAAATGCATTCAAACCTGGATCAAAATAATTTTAAGTTGAGCTACGTATAATAAAAATCACAGATAATATTTGATTACTTCGATTAATATATGTAAAGTAGTTAATTTTATTAACTGAACTGAATTAATCTACAATTAAATTTTTTTCTTAAAATCTCTTCTCTACACTAAATCAAATCATAGGTTAAAATCGAGTAACGAACGTATTTTTATTTATCCAACGATATCTCACAGTGAACAGTTCAATAAATATTAGTGGAAGAAAAGAGAGCAATGCAAGCAATACGGTGGGTTAGTGGTGGGGAGAACTTGGGAAGATGACTTGGAGTGCAGCCGGCCAAGAAATACTAACTAGACCGGTCAAATGATATTGTGGTCCCTTTTTTTTCCTTCATTTTTCTTTGTATACTTTTTTGGGTAAGCTTAATCGTAAATGCCACAAACACTTGTCAAAAGTTATGATGATAATGTAAGGTTAATACCTTGTCCAAAGCCACTTTTCTTAAATTATTTATCGTGCAACTGAGCTTTCACTTTGATGATTTCTACGCAAAATTCATCGGTCACATCCCTGCCTTTGCGCCATTCATTACAAATTCAAGATTTTGCTGTCATGCCCCTCTATTCTTACGTTTCTCTATATTCCTCCCATGCTTTTATCCATATATTCTACCATTCCATCTCTAGTTTTCTAGTTGCATAATTTAGTCATAACATATGCGGATGTCCCATGCAAATTTCATAAGAAAACAAAGAATATATTAAACTACTGTAATTAATTACTTTATATACATAATTTTACATGAGAATCATCTGTGTAAATGATGAACATTTTGGGTATTTCATAGAGAGAGAAAAAGAAACTAGCTAGTTAATTATAGGTCCAAAATGTTGACTTTCTATGTGCTGCAAATGAGGGTGCAGGATCACAAAACCCAAGCATGGTGGACGATGGGTTTAATAAACTAATCATGTAGAGATCAGCCATCCATGGATGACATCGTTGACTTTTTATATATACTTTAAAGTTTTGCATATCGAAGATAAAATCATAAACCCCCATTGGAACTTTTTATCGGTACTGGTTTACCAACTAATATCCTTTGTTTGCTACTGCCAATTATATTTAAGACACATGGCTTTTGTAGCTTATCTCTGGTATCTACATTAAAAAAAAATAGGCAAACAATGGTGCGCCCTCAATCTTTGATGTTTACAATCTACCTTCATATTCTAGGTATGGTCATGGATGATGTAACTATAAAGTTGGTTTTGATAATATTCATAAAATTGGAGGGCTTCCACTGCAAAAACAAAAGCTCCTTAAAAGTTTTTGATAGAGACCCTGGTGTTGGGTGTATATAAAACTAAACCAGCCTTGGGATCAATCGTACAGCTTAGTCGGTAATCCCTAAATTAATATAACTTTTTTATGCTCCATCTGATTCCTACCTCAGTCTCTTATTCCTTAATCTAGTAGGTAGCCATGGCCATGGCCATAGATAATGTCTTCGAGATCGACTTCTCTTGCTACAGTACCAGTACAACCACCATTACTACTGCAGATGACGACCCTGCTTGTACCTGGAATGACTGGGGTTCCCCGGTTGTTGATTGGGGCTCGTTATCGAGCGAGCGTGATGAGTTTCAGGACCTCATTGAGTCCATGATGGATGATGGAACAGGGTTCAAGCTGTCTCAAGTAGATAATGAGATGAGTAACTCTGTTTCTGTTTCTGTCTCTGTCTCCTCTGATACCATGGTTGCGGATGATGAAACAAACGGTGAGGATTTCAAGGGGTTGAGGTTGGTTCACCTGTTGATGGCCGCCGCTGAGGCTCTCACGGGGGCTACCAAGAGCCTTGAACTAGCTCGGGTGATATTGGTTCGGCTCAAGGAGTTGGTTTCCCCCAGCGATGGAACCAACATGGAAAGGTTAGCGGCTTATTTCACCGAGGCATTACAAGGTCTACTCGAAGGCTCCGGAGGAGGCCATTCCAAGCATTTGATAGCCAATGGAACTCATCATCACCGTGACAAACACCATCAATCGGACATGCTTGCAGCGTTTCAGCTGCTGCAGGACATGTCACCTTATGTTAAATTCGGTCACTTTACGGCCAATCAGGCAATCTTGGAAGCAGTGACTCATGACAGGAGGATTCACATAGTGGACTACGACATCATGGAAGGGATTCAATGGGCGTCTTTGATGCAAGCTTTGGTGTCAAGGAAAGAAGGACCACCAACCCCACATCTTAGGATCACGGCTTTATCGAGAGGCAACAACAGCTGGCGATCCATCGGGAGCATTCAAGAGACTGGTCGATGGTTAGTTGCTTTTGCAGCCTCTATTGGGCAGCCCTTTTCTTTCCATCAGTGTAAACTGGACTCTGATGAAACATTTAGACCGTCAGCCGTGAAGTTAGTTCGAGGCGAGGCCTTGGTGATCAATTGTATGCTGCACTCGCCTCACTATAGCCATCGAGCACCGGGTTCGGTCGCTTCATTTTTATCCGGCGCCAAGACCCTGAACCCAAGATTGGTGACCCTGGTGGAAGAAGAAGTTGGACCCATTGGAGATGGGGAGTTCATGGGACGGTTCATAGACTCATTGCATCATTACTCAGCCATGTTCGACTCGTTAGAAGCCGGGTTCCCTATGCAGGGCAGGGCACGGGCCTTGGTCGAAAGAGTAATTCTGGGGCCTAGAATAACCGGATCCTTGAACCAAATTTACCGGACCCGAAAAGAATACGAGAGTGGTCCCTGGTGGGAATGGTTAAATTCAGTAGGATACAAAGCAGTTAACATGAGCTTCGGCAATCATTGTCAAGCAAAGCTTCTGCTGGGATTATTCAATGATGGATATAGAGTGGAGGAGTTGGCCAATAATAGGCTCGTATTAGGCTGGAATTCCAGGCGTTTGCTCTCAGCTTCGATATGGACTTCTCCTCAAGACTCTGGTTTGTAATAAAAGTTGAAAACAAATTATACGCACATGCTATCTTTTCCTTTGTCTTTCAACTGCACATCATTTTTCATATCCCTTAGCATTCTCCAGACATGTTAATATTTGAACATTTTCGACAAAACCTACACCAAACTGTTCGAATTAAGATGTAATAGTCCTAAGTTGAGACAAATCACAAAGCTGTTGATTCAGTTGTGAGCTAATGCGGATGTCTGTAAGAAGAATATGAGTTTGTTTTTATTTATTTTTATCTGCCTGTGTAACTCACTTCCATTTTGTTCCACAACGACATCCAAACACCCCCCCCCCCCAAAAAAATATTTAACTCTTCTCTGATTTTAAAAATATCCAATGAGTTTGGATCAAACAATGGACAAGTTCGTATATAAGATGAAAATCAGCAGAAGCTCTTTTTATATTTATTTATATTCTTGTTAATATTAACGTTTGAAGTTCAGAAATACCCTTCAAACCTTAATTCTTTAATAGAAATTTATAATGACCATTATTCGTGCAGCCAACTTATTAATATAAAGGGTAAAAGTATACAAATAGTTCTCCGGTTATAAGGTACTATTTTGTTCAATTACCCGATTACTAATAGTTACAAAATAATTCATCGATTATATGTCGTTATTTTGTTGAGTCCTCCAAACTATTAAAAGTTATAAAATGATTACTTGATTATTCATATATTTCAAACTCGTCATTTTTTGTTAAAAATGAACGATAATTTCAGCTGGATGTAAACCTGTTGAATGAGATATGATAAAATTATATTTTAATGATGTTTAATGAGATCGTCGTTGCTTTTAAGCACTGACTCGATGGTATAATATTTCAAGCACAAGCTTCACGGTATAATGTGAAAGGAGAATCGATCTACAAAATACATTTCAAGCGATTCTAAGAGCAGATATTATTATATCCCAATCAACAAGTTAACGTCCAGTTGAGACAATTGTCAAATTTTTAACGGAAAAGGACGAGTTTAGAACATATGAATAGTCGAGTGATCATTTTGTAACTTTTAATAGTAAAAAAAATCAATAAAATATTATCATATAGTCAAGATATCATTTTATAATTTTAATAGTCGAAAAGCTTAACAAAGTAATACACTATAGTCGGGCACCATTTGTATACTTTATACTAATATAAATAGCATAAAATTTAATCTTTGTTCTATGCAACTCTCAGTCCACCATCATTAGCATCTTTCTAGAATTAAAGTATTAACAAGTTAGTGTGGGGTTATTTAGATTATTTTATTTATGTCTAAGAATTTATAAATATTAAGTAGGGTTTGATCTTTTAATTATTAGCAAATTGAAGCTTTACAGTGACGTGAACTTGTAATGAATGAAACTTATTTTTTTAAAAATATACAACTACGTGTGTATATATGATGAAGCAACAAGGACAGGTTGAAGCTTTTTAAAATGTCATGGTCAAGACCTTCGGCGCGAACATGATGTAATTGAAGGCAACAGCTATTCCCCATGATTGTTAACAAAATTAACTAGTAAATAATATATTTGTTCGAGAAAAATCTCACGCATAGACAAAATAACCATAAAATTTATAACTATTGTAAAATTTATTAGAAAAATAAACTAAAATGAGATAAATAATAATATAATAATATAATTGATTTTCAACTAATTTTATATCATGAGCTTTACAAAATCATTATTTACAGAGCTAGAATCATAGACATAATGAAAATGTTATAAGAAGACGAAAGATGAATATAGAGTTGAAAGATAAAATAATGTCTACATTTAATAAAATTTATAACATTTTTCGGTAGATGTCATAAAATATGTATCTCATTACAAATGTCTATATCTATATTTCTACTATTAAAACTACTCCAAAAGGTTTTGAGGTTAACACATAGGGTTTTGGATTGGGCTAAATTCTTATTTGGTGGTAGAGGTTGGACATCTCATTTAGGTTTCTCCCAATGAAAACGAAAAATAAAAATTAATATCTTGTAAATGTAGTTGTTCGAATTTAATTTTTTTTAAAAAAATAATATTTTTATCATTAAGGCCACTTGATGAGTTTTTTTTTTCATTTATAATTATTAAAATAATGTATAAGTAAATGGTGTTACAAAATTCAATCTAGAAAAACAACAGTAGAATCATTTAAATAATATCAATTAAATAAAATAATTTTAATATGAATAAATTAATATAATTATCAATATTAACATAATATTGAAAATTAATAAAATATACTATGAAAATAAAATATATATAACTATGATGCTAAGAGATGATCATCTCCTTGAAAAAATGATTTTTTGACCTCTCAATTTTATAAGTTGAATCATTTTAATCCTCAATTTTTTTAGTGGGTGATAGAGGAAAGGTCTAACAATATTTTCAGTCCTTGAGCTTTTCAGACAAACTCATCGTAGTCCTTCAGCAGTTTTTCCTCCTTTTTCCCTTTCAACTTTTAATTTTTAATATTGAACCAACAAAAAAAAATAACAAACATGAACATCCAATATATATTTTTTTAATTTTTAAATTGTTACTTTTCTACCAATCGGTTCAGTGCCCATAATATTTTAGAAACCAAGGCCCAATATTTGTTTACAAGTCCATGTACTTACTGGACTGTATATCCATAGGTCCCTAGAAATTGAAATTAGGGACGTAAAAAATATAGTTTCATCTTTTATTATTAGCTCGAGAAATTTGAAATTTTGAAGAAAATAATTTGCAAAATAAAAATAATGGTGGAATTGCGAATTTTATTCCTTTACTTTATGAAAATTAATACATTAGAGCCTCTATTTTAACTTGTTAAAATTCGGTCACATGCACTCTCGTTTGATTTTTGTTCTTCAATTTTCCGCCATGTAAAATTGTAAACCCAAGCAGTGTTCTGTCTTTCAGCTTTTTATTTACAAAGAAAAATGAAGGAAGACTTGCTGGAACGCAACACCGATTACGTTTATTTTTTAGCCTCTCCCCCTCACTTGCAAGAAAGTATTTATTTTCTCTTTTGAGCTATCCGGAAGTAAGCTTTTCCTCTTTCGCATTTTTCCATTTTCATCTCACATTTTGTGTTTTTTGTTGAAATTTTTATGTTTCTGGAACTGCATGTCAATGATCTGGATATTCAGTGTTAGTTTTGAACCAAAACCATCTAATTTTCTTTCTTTCTTCTTAATCAAAACTTTTAGTACTCCTTATGAAATATATTCAATTCATCAGAATAGAAGTGAAAGAGGGTCCTAGGCTAATTTTTTTTATCTTATTGTTTGGTTTTTCTTTAAATCATGGAATTGGTTGTGAGTATCAACATAGTGAAATCGCCAGGCTCAATCCGATAGACTGCTGATACTAGTTTACTGGGAATTGTATTGATCCGACCTATAGGTTTCGGCGTCCTGTGAGCTCGTATTCTTTTTAATAAGTTCATGTTGATAATGAGATTGATATATCATGAACGAATTGGATTTTTTTACATATTTTGGAAATTTTACAATTGAATTATATTGAATTATAGCTTTAGAAGACAATTATGCATGCACGCAACTCGAAAGACATCATAACAGGGTAATATATTTGGAGCAGCTACTTGACCCTGTAATAATGCCTTTCGAGTTGCAAAAGAGACTGAGAGGTGAATGCATTGTTTGAGATTTCATTATATTTGATCATCTGCTGGAAAATCTTTAACCACATGGATTAAACGAAGAAATTATTATATGACATTTATTCAAAATAATTCTAGCTTTGTTGGTGACTTTCAACAATGATATTATTGAGTTAATCGATCGGATGAATCAGCAAAGAGGGGGGTGAATTGGCAATTAAAACGTCGGTGGAAACTTTTGCAAAAAAATTGAAAATATTTGCACAACAATTTAGAGTGGTTCGACTTTCTCAAACAAAGTCTACGTCCACTATCTTATCTATCCACACTAAGGATTTTCCACAAATTCACTAATTTGTTTTTCTTTTGATGACAATGAGTAACCTTACAAATCCCTCAAAAATTATACCCCAAATTATTGAGAACACTCTCCCAAAGAGAAAATTACAAATTTCACAAACTTACAGAAAAACCTCACAAGGTAGATTGTTTGCCCAATTCTAGAACAAGAAAAGAACACTCAAATATGAATACAATTGAGCACAAAGTGTGTTCTTAAAAGCAAAATGAATATTGAATAAAAATAGGCTTGAATTGCTCAAACTTGATTTTTTATGCTTTCTCTCTTGATTCTTTCTCAATTCTTGTTGATCAATGGCTTCAGAACTTGTTTAAATACACTTTGGATCAATTCTGAATGTTGGGGATCATTGGTGAAGTCAATAGAGCCATTGTTGTATGTTTTCTATTTAAAATTTCTATTGGGAGCGTAGGGGTATCGGTACATCTTCAAAGGGTATCGGTACACCTAGTGTAAAATTCAAATATTTCGACCGTTATTTGACCAAGTGTATCGGTACCTCCCAGGGGTATCGGTACTGTAACACCCCAACCCGTACCCGACCCGGATACGAGTCCGAGATATCACATTGACTTTTTAAACAACGTTCTTACAAAATCATAACACATTTGAACTTATATTAATAAAATACGAGTATATATTGATGAATTATGTTTGTTATAACAAATTTAAAAAAAAATACTTTTTCATAAACAATATTTATATGTATGAACAGTACCGTGAACAGTGATGAACATTGCCCATGAACAGTGAACAGTGTACTAATGCACTGCTACAGTACCGTGAGCAGTACTGATGCACCAAAATTTCGAACTTAAAATGTGTATCGATGCACTGCTACAGTATTTTCAGAAAAATACATAAAACTCGTAAAAACTTAATATTTCATCACTATAAATTTACCATTTTGTTTCCAAATTAGTTCAATAAAATAAATTGAACATTATTAATTACATGCCACTATCTAAGTCAAAATTTCATCATAGGATGTCTTACTGATAGTGAAATATACTATTCGATGTTTGATGTCACCTTGAACTCTTTATTCCACTACTGACTTTTACCTACGCGTGGAAATTATCACACGCTAAGTATATACTTAGTGAGGCAATTAAAACAATAAACAGTGCAATACAATTCATGCATTTCAATGTCAAAATCAAAATACCATGAAATCATGTTATCAATATATCCAATATTTTACTATGATCAAAATACTATAAAATTTCTTGTCAATAT